CTCTCAGTGCCATTTATGCTCTTGCCAAGCACTTGGAACAGCTAACGCCGATCGAATCACATGTATGTGTTAGGATTCCGAGCTTTTGCGATTGCTTTTGATAATTTTGAGTTTTGACTGCGTAGTGGTTGACGATCAGAGTTGTCTAATTAGTGATAAGCTACTTGTTGAATTGGGAGATTGCTTTGCTTACTTTAAGCATTCGTAATTGGAGATTTGCCAAACAGAATGTGTGCATAGTGCTGAAATCACATTCAATTTTATTGTTGATGGGGTAGAATTTTCTTCCTGAAGTGTCCTGGGGCCGAAAAATTGTCATGACTGTAACCACGTGTGGATAAAAGTTGGCTAGTTGCCTTATTTGCCTTTATTCAATACTGATAAGTGAACATAATACAGCTTGGCCAACCGACGTTACATAAATTACTTACTTTTCTAAGTTTCCATACCTCACAAAGGTTATGATGAGATGAGAAAATCCATGATTTTTAGTGAACTTCACCTTTTCCATTAACAATTATATTACAAGTTTCAGCGATAGGGTATAGTTCCTTGTGCAACTTTTGGTGGAAGCCATGCACTTCAAGTATTTGTGATGTTGCAAGGTAGTTGGGCTTTGCCTACATTTGGATTAATAAACATGCATCTGGAAATCATGTGTTGCCATGTGCCTGAAATCCTCAGGACTTAGCATTTTAAGTTGCGCCCGTCTTATGAATTGTTTGAAGTAAAATGATTAATTCACATTTCTTTACTTATAACTGCAACTTGCTACAGATTTAAATGTAATCTGTAAGATGTGAGTAACTTCATTGGTTTCTTATATTTAAACTTATTTCTTCGTTTTAGGATTAAACTAAAAATTGCATGCCATAATTGCAATTCAGGACGACACTTTTGGCTACTGCATTTAGACCCTGCATAAGTAGACCTCAACAAGCATGCGTCTAGAAAACTTTATTTTGTATTTATTGATATTTTAATCTTTGTTAAATGATACAGTTTAGATCAGTATACTGCCCTTTTAGTTTGTTTGTGTATCAATAAGTTTGTCTGTACTCTGTACTGTCACTGTAGGAAATCAATGATGAATCATTAGGGGAACAGATATAGGTGCAGTTAGCAGGGTGGAGTAAAAAGTAAAATTGAGCAGTGAACATACGTCATGACGTAATTTTAACTCTGATAGCTGATTAAAGGATTCAGCTCTAGAAGTCAGAACTCATAAACTTAGGAAAGGCGTTACTTATTCTTCTTTCACCAAGTCATTGTTGGTGGATGCTGTTCACTTAATTTTTTGTATCTATTAGTTCATAATTTTTTTGCACTGCCTGTTATGATATATTATAACTGATAAACAGGCAGTAGATTCAAGCAACTGCGACTCTATTTCGTCATCCTACGAAAGCTCAAATAATGGATTTTTCCTCATGCCACTTGTTGAATTACTCAGAAAACAGCATATCTTACTACTTCATGCTGGAGGAGACTCGAAAAGGGTCCCGTGGGCTAATCCAATGGGTAAAGTTTTCCTTCCACTCCCATATATGGCAGCAGACGATCCTGATGGCCCCGTTCCGTTGCTCTTTGATCATATACTCGCTATTGCTTCTTGTGCCAGACAGGCATTTCAAAATGAAGGTTACTTTTTCTATACTGTGTGCTGTTATATATGTTGCCCGGGATCAATATTGGCTTCATTGTATGCATACGCCCATGTGGTTACATTTGCATGATTTCCTAGGCTTGGGGTTATTCCGCATACCATTTTGTTTACGGGAAAGGTTACACAAATGAAATTCTGGGCTACAGGTGGATTGTTCATCATGACTGGTGATGTCCTTCCATGTTTTGATGCTTTCAGCATTGTTCTTCCTGAGGATGCAGCCTCTATTGTTACCGTTCCTATAACTCTTGACATTGCTTCAAACCACGGGGTCATTGTGGCATCAAAATCTGAGTTGTCAAAAGAAAAATCTTTGGTTTCTCTTGTTGAGAATTTGCTTCAGAAACCTAGCTTAGAGGATCTTGTTGACCACCGAGCCATATTAGACGATGGCAGAACATTACTTGACACAGGAATAATAGCAGTCAAAGGTAAAGCATGGGAGGATCTTGTCATGCTTGCCTGTTCCAGCCAACCAATGATTTCAGAACTTCTGGACAGTAAGAAAGAGGCAAGTAAAACTTTGTTGCTTTCTTTCTTTTCTCGTATCTAATTTACGAATGTAATGTCTTGGCCCTCCACTGCCTTCAGCGTCTCTGAGCCCGAATTATTATCTTCTTACACAGATGAGTTTATATGAAGATTTGGTAGCAGCATGGGTGCCAGCTAAGCATGACTGGATGAAGTCACGCCCTTTGGGCGAAGAACTAGTCAAAGCATTGGGGAAGCAAAGAATGTTCAGTTACTGTGCATGTATGTTGAATGATGTTTTAGATGTATGCCTTGTTTATTACTGTTTAGACTTCTATGGTTGGACGTATATAATTGTCACCTAATACCCCAAGTGGGTTTGTTTTCGCTGGCAAATTTCTAAAAATCTTCCGGTCTTCTTTTGGCCAGATGATCTCTTATTCTTGCACTTTGGAACCTCGAGTGAAGTTCTGGACCACCTCAATGGATCTGGTTCCGTACTTGTCGGAAGGCGGCATCTCTGTTCAATTCCAGCAACCACAGTGTCTGATATTGCTGCCTCGGCTATAATTATTTCTAGCACAGTGTCCCCCGGCGTCTCTATTGGTGATGAGTCACTTGTGTACGATTCTTCGATTTCAACCAATTCCCAGATTGGTTCCCAGTCAATAGTTGTCGGTGTAAATGTGCCGAAAACCCTTAATGACGTGTCAGAGAAATCCTTCAGGTTCATACTTCCAGACCGCCACTGTCTGTGGGAGGTTCCCTTGTCAGGACGTGGAGAGAGAGTTATTGTGTACTGCGGCCTCCATGATAATCCAAAGAGTCCACTCATGAATGGGACCTTTTGCGGAAAACCCTGGAAAAAGGTTTTAGGTGATTTAGGAATTCGAGATGATGATCTGTGGGGTGCAACAAGGGACAGCAACGACAAGTGCTTGTGGAATGCTAAATTATTTCCTGTTGTCTCATACTTCAATATGCTGCAATTGGCGACGTGGCTTATGGGGTTGAGTGACAAAGAAAACATACAACTCCTGCATTTATGGAGAAGGTCAAATAGGATTAGTTTAGAAGAGTTGCATAGATCAATTGACTTCTCAAAAATGTGGTTAAGTTCTACCAATCACCAAGCCGATCTCGCAGCAGGAGTTGTTGCTGCTTGCCTTAAGTTTGGCTTGCTCGGTCGTAATCTATCTCAGATGTGCCAAGAAATACTGCAAAAAGAAGGCACTGGAGTTGAAGTATGTAGAGAGTTTCTATACATGTGTCCTGACCTTCAAGCTCAAAATTCTCAGATTCTCCCGAGAAGTAGGGCCCACCAGGTTCACCTTGATCTTCTACGAGCATGCAATGAAGAACAGATGGCTGCCAAAATGGAGCACAAGGTGTGGGCTGCTGTTGCTGACGAAACGGCTACAGCAGTGAGATACGGTTTCAAAGGTAATGTAGCTACTACCTCACTTTGACGATGTGAAATTGTGATATTAATTTTGCCTCTAGTGGACAACTTGAATGTTGATAAATTTCTCTAGAAGACCTTGAAATCACTTTAGTTTTCTTAGTGTCATCTGGCTAAGTTTCGTATCGTTTTAGGTACTAGTAAGGTGCACGTGCTTATGCACGTGAACCATATTACTTAATTAATATAAGTTATAAATATATTTTGATTTATATTATTTTATTATTGTCTTCCTGGTATGATTTAAAAGATGTTAAGGTAAATATTCTCAATTCATCTGAAGCGACAAAAGTGATTCTTGGGATAAACAGAACAATGCAAGATACTAGAATTCTCAAACAGTGTAATCATATGAAAATTTTCATTATTGAAAGGTAAAAAATTATATATTTTTATAGATCATGTAAACAATGTGATCATACTCAAGGTCCTTTTTTTAAAAAAATTAAGGTATAGGTGTTTTTTTTTTTTCTTAATTTCTCAATAGAAAAGTAGTTTACAATGTGATTGTTTGATAAAGTGACACTTGATGAAGCTAATACTAACCTAATAATGATGTTTTAACATGTTGGTACATCTTAGTTTTAACGTGTACCAACATCTTAGTGCTTCTTCGAATTTTTTTAATATATATTATACAAACACACATATAGTATAAAATCACGTATATATAACATATAAGTCTACAGATATGAGGGAACAAAATGAACATACCATTCTTTTTGTAGGAAACTCATCGCGATGTTTGCTTGTGTGTGATAGTGTGAATCAATCTTATATCAACTGCTCAAAGAGTGTGATATGGTGATACATGTATATATAAATTTGGACAATTCATTTAAGATATCTTTATCTTTTTTTTTTTTTTTTT